TATCGGGAAACCCCGAGTTTACCTATAGTATTTATAATAAGACCTTGGGTTTCTAAAAGATTTATACGATCTCTCTTTCAGAACGGATAGATAAGTAAGATACCTTTACTATATAAGTAGCTTTCTCTAAAATCTTATATACTCTTATGGACGGAGTATATGGCGATAAGGTCCTTATAAAAGCGTTATTATATATATATCTACCTTATATACTCGCTTCTGGACGATTACTAACACTAGTAGATAATAAGTTAGAAAGCGAATATTATTAGATATTAGCGTATATATATTAATATATACTAGAAGATAGTGTATAAAGGAGTGTCTATCGCCTTAGTTTTCGAGGACGATACCGACTAGGACGTAGTATTGAAGTACTAACTCGTATAGTTCGCTAGAGGCTTAAGGTTCCTTATAGAAACTATAGTACGAGATATACTATACTCTCCATATAGCGACGACTAGGATATACTTTAGATTAGCTATTACGGTATCTAGGTACTACTAGATAATAACCGTTAATTCTTCGTCATCCCTAGCGACTCTACTATACTACTATCTTAATTATATAAAGATAATATAGTAAAGCTAGATATGAGCTACTAGCGGACTACTCCCAATAGTAGCGAACGAATAAGAATAGTGTTCCGTTTAGAAGGCGTAGTATATACCGCTATATACGCTATATCCTAGAAAGGAGTACGTAAAGCTATCTACTATTTGTCAATAGTCCCTTATAACGCTCCTATCGACTAGGGACTTACTAATCTCTATAAGAATAAGGAATATAATTTTAAGTGTATATCTTCGTGGCCTTAGATAGTAGGTGTCTCACGATCTACATCAGCTACTACTAAATGGAGCGATATCGATTCCCCTTCCGACTTAGAGATAGTTAAGGACGGATAATCTTATCATCTTATGTACCTAGTACGATAAAACCTATAGCGATAGCTTAATGATACGATAGTCTTTGAAAGTTAATATCCTAATATTATACTACTAATAGAGATCAATAATATTAGTAAGGCGATAGAGTACGCTAAGATTCTAGCATTAGGAAAAGTACCTAAGGAATAGTGAAATAGAAAAAAGATATAGAAATTCTTACGTAATAGCTTCTATAAACTTAGTAAATAATAAATCTACTAGCGCTATACCCCGAGATAAAGAATCTTTCCGCGTACTTTTGGGGTAGAAACCGGTTTTGAAACCGCGTATAAGTATAATCGACTAAAGATAGGTCGAATAATATAATCGTTCTAGGTCCTGGAAAAGATTTAGGCTCTATTAACGATAATATAAAGTTCTCTTCTAAGGGACTATAGACTCCTACTAAGGTTTAAATAGTAATATTAGGTTCTAACTATCTAGTTGAGGATTCTAAGAAAGATAATAAAAGTATTCGAATTGATTAGCGCTTACTAAACGACTAAGGTATAAAGTAAGATCTAATAAATCATTTATAAGCTTATTAGTAACCGAGTATAGTAGTCTCTTATATAAGGAGGTTTAATCTATACTCTTGGATTCTTAAACTCTCTCCCATTATATTCTGGAGAATATCTACTAGTAGTGATAAGATAGTCTAGTATACCCTTAACTCCGGCTAGACCCCCTATCTATTAGGGATAAGGACCGAGAAAAGACTCTAAGGGGCTTTAGAGAGCTTTGAATATATAGAGAANTATACACAGAAAGAGATAAATAGGACCTCTATTCTCGCACTGCTGGAGAGACCCTCAACAGTGCGAGAAGTCGATGTCTCAAGGATAGCTTTATACAATACAGATACGTGTTCAACCCTCTGACTCTTCGTCTAACGATCCCACCCCAAGGCTCTCTGACAGATACTTATTACCACGGAATCTATCTATCGCTGAGTACTGCCTATCTTCAATAAGGCATCCTTGACTGGTGCTTTCTGGTCGCTAGTAAGTCGGTGCCTGAAGTCGGCATCCGAGCGAGTACCGTCTTGTGCTGCATTCCAACGTACATATCTTACCCAGTGTAAAAACCACACAATTATGGAGAAATTCCCCAGGCACCAGTTTCTACTCGCTCGCCGGCTCCAGTTCTTTCTGACAATTGTAGGAGATGCTATGGCTTTTTCTTTTTCAATGGTGCCGCAGTTGCATGAATTCTTCACTGCGACTCGTCGCGCTGGAACGGCCTATGTGGCACTGTTCGGGGTTGCCGTGGGTGTTTCCCGTTGCGAGTTAACGGTGAAGCCTTCTCTTCTGTTTAGTTTCTCCAGCTTGGGGTCTGGAGGGGTGCAGGGTTGGTGTTGGAGGGGTGGGTGGGGCAAAATAGAATGTTGTACTGGAGCTTGCGCTCCTGATGTTAGGGGGCAAAAAGGTCCTGCAGCCTAGTCCTCTTTCCATGTGATGTCTGAATGGTCTCGCAATCTCTTCCTCGCCAGAATTCGGCCAATGTCTACCATACGAGGTGTACATGGACGCAGGTGAAACCATGGGCGAAGCCGGCCAAACTCCTCCAGGCTTCTCCATGTCTCCCATATAGATTGCCGTTGGTGCGCGCATTCCTTTTATTTTCGCCTTACATCTTCTGCAACCTTTCCTTCTTTCGCTGCACCCGAAGCATAAGCAAGCATGCACCAGTCAACAAGGCCTCTGTCAGCGACGACGGCATCATGTCAGTTAGCTCGTGACGTTTGCTACACCTCGAGCTCCTACAACTCCTTATTTTTATGCTAAGACGAAATAATGAGCAACCTCAGCGACCACCGTGAAGTGAATTGCTATCTGGTCGTCGCGAGAAACGACTGACGGTAATGACTAATCAGGCGAGAGCATTGCATCGACATCCCCTGCGTCGGTTGGGCATAAATCACGCCAATTTAGACATGAATATCACCCTTTACGCCTCCCCACGTCCTCCCATCTTAACACTCATAATCTCATCCGTCGCGACTGCGAGCCTCATTTGGAAGACCGCGCCGCCAGCGCCGTCATTTTCAGTGCTAAGGGAGGGTGGCATCGGGCGGTCGCATCTTGTTAAAGCACTGTACTTTGTGTATTCTCTGGACGGTGAATTACATCATGTCAAGCTCGTGATTGAGATAGGGGGACATACAATAGAGTGTGCGCGCCTTTTGCAAGACCACATCTGTGTATTTTGGTGAGGATACACGGCAGTATCATTCAGGTTTTTGGCATTCGAACTGGCGTTTCCCGGCGTGGATATAGTGGGGCCAACACCAACGCGACTTCACCCTTTTCTTCGCTGAAGGCTTGGGAGAGGGGGCGATGTTAGATCCAAGAAAAGTCAGGCACTTAGCCACCCAAGTGTTCGGTGAGGGAATTAAAAACCGCAGGCTGTTGGACAGAGCCTCATTTGCCCGTTCTATCATGACCGGCCCGACCAAACTGCGGCTTAGGCTTAGGTAGGTGGCTTCCTGTCCGTCAAGTGCAGGAGTGAGGCCCTCATCGGTCTGGAAAGTAGACGCCAGCTGGACGAATGGCTATCCGTCTCCTCTCTTCTAATCCCCTCTACCTCAGAGATCGGACCGGCTGGCTGTATGGCGCCTCCTATAAACATGGCTGCGGAGCCCTAAAGTAATGCTCAGAGCCGAGCAACTCACCGAAACGCCTCGATGAGTCCCAGCATGAAATGTGTTTAGGAGATGGCCGCCTGATGAGTGGCCGGCCATGCCGAATGGCTCACGTACGACGCCGTAACGTCCCCTGAAAAGATGCACTTTCTATCTAGATTATCTTTGCCGCCTTTTCGCCTGTTCTGTTGCCTTATATAGGTTGCATCGCACTCCAAGACAAGGCTTTGGTAAACATGAAAAGGACCATGAGACTTGCCCACAGCTGCTGGCACGGCTCCTTATCGTCGTCACCTTCCCCGCCAGTCTCTCTTTCTCTTCTTCTCTGCTCAGGGCAAGGTTTGACAGTATCTCTTGCTGATACCGACCGGCAGTATGACCTCGGTGTCCCATTGTGCGACCCGTAACGCAGGCAAGCTTAATGCTGATGATGAGTCCGGTTATAAGCTCGAGTCACTCGCCGTGACAGGCTTCTGACGCTGGCGTGAGTACGCCTGATGATAATGACAATCAGTTTAATGATGTCACGTCTGTAGTCGAGATCATAGGCAAAAACTTCAAGCCTAGGCAGCGCCCCGTGACCCTTCCCTCGCACACGGACAACCCCGTTAATGACTTTATAACCCTAAAAATCTGCCGATACCGTGGGATTTACTGTGCCCCATATGCTAGCCAACAGGTACGTTGAGACTGGCAGGTGCATGGCACCACAGACAGCCAATATCTCGCAAGTTCCTTTGCTGAGTCGTCCATTTCCCATTCGGCAAGGAGTCGTCTGAGCCGAGAGGATTCCATGGCTGATACGCTTACCTGCTATTTTCAGAGACCCGTACACGTCGTCTCACAGTCCAGCCCGCCGTTGCGGGGACGGTCTGGTACAGGGGGTCGCCGAGCGTTTTGGGAGCGTCGCGCGGAGCTGAAACACCCACGTCAGACAAAGCCAATCAACAGTGCCACATAAGGCCAGGCACAGGCGAAGAGAGATAAGCCAGTCGCCCGCAGCATTTGATTTAACTAAGGTAACATCGTCCATCGTCGAAGGTTGCTTCATGCGATAAGACGACGGTGGCGCGGCAAAATCCCATGGTTGTCGTCCCCTGTCAATGGACTTCCCCGTCCTTCGGTGTATTTCTTGTGCCGAGGTACCCGCGGCCTTACCTGTCTTGAGGCATCCCAAGGGGGATATAAAGCGAAACGCCACGCCGTCTTTTCGCTCTAGAGCTCAACCTATCCTCTTCTGTTCTGCAGCCCTTGACACTCTTCCTCCTCCTCTCCTCATCTTACCAGAAGCACACAACACCCATACTCTTCTCATCTCATCAGCGGCACTCGACAACCCTCATACCTTGCTTTTCCTCCCCGGAGCTCACATTTATCTTCTCCACGCCAATTTTTCCCACCACTTCGACGGCACAAATTTGACAAGATGAAGTTCACCGGCATTCTCGACCTATTCCTCACCGTTGGGGTCTACGTCGCCGCGGTTCCCCTGCCGGGGACCCAGGGTGATCTCACTTCCCGTGCTTGAACGGTACCATTTCCGTGAACAGCTTCGAGTCTGATACATGCCCCAGCGTCCCGAATCCCGCCATCCGTAGCGTCCATACGGAGGAAATCAACCTCGGGGACGGAGCCTCCGAGTCTAAGAGAGACTCGACAGGCCCTGATGGCGTATCCTGCTCCGCCGAGGAGGTAGCCACGGGAGTTTTCACGGCCACGGATTGAGCGTGGCCGCGTACAGTCACCCGCAGGCTTGGTCACACGCTCCCTCCGTCACTGCCTAGTGCACAAGAGCCTTGAGCTGCAGACGACTTAGCCCAACCGAGAATTGCAGTTTATTGTCTTCCATGTCTCCCGTCCCAAACCTCCTTGCTCTACTTTGGCTTGCAGGGCCGGGACGAAGAACAACATGCTTTGCTCGACTGGGATGGCGGCTCACTGTGACTTGCATGACGGCCGACGCGGACGATTCTCGCTCTCTGATTTCTTTTTCGTGGATGGACCAGCAGGGCGGCCGACGCGGGGGAAGGAATTTCATTACTTGCGCTCTCTCATCTTTGGACCTGTCAGGCAGATCGGCTCGACTTGGAACAACCTTTTTTCTATTCTCTCCGCTCGCTTGGACGCGAACATGTCAGGTTGAGCGGCCCATGTAGACTACTTTCATCCACTTTATCCCCTTCGCCTTGTCTGCTGATACATATCCTTACAGCCATATTTTGCCAGACCCATCCAAGCCCTTCTAAAATACGCTGTAGGGCGACATTTTCACCGCGTGACTCCCTAAGGCGACCTGCTAAGCGTGACGAAAAGACTGAAGGTGAAAAAAGACGGGCACTGGGTACTGGGTACTGGACACTGGCTGGTAATGGCAGTGCTGGTGGTATTGGTATTGGTAGAGGTAGAAGTAGAGGCAAGCGACTCCGTAGACAGACTCTACATAGAGAATTGATTCCCATACAATCTTGGTGGTGTTAGATTCTGCCTAACTTTAGGCGAAGTCGCAGGGGTTCGAAGGCGCTTTGAAAATCGCTGTCCGAGATATTCCCACCTTATTGGTCAAAGTTTAAGTCACACATGACGTTACAAAAAGTAGCCAATCGGATTTTGATACTCTTCCGTACCAATCAAATCCGCGGCTTCTTTGACGAGGCTGCCTGTAATACTGTTTTCGCTTCGCTCAACAGGACTATGGTGACCATGTCTGCGTTCCTGGGCGAATAGGTACATACGCTAGCCTCGCAAGCCACGAATATCGTAAAGTACGGCAGCCCGCTCCTTTTTATCCGTAAAGGTCACAACCGGAAGCCAATCCCGTTTCTATCTTGCCGCGCCTCCCTTGGTGAGGACTCCTCTCATTCATGCCACGACAATCTGACTAGTATTCATTTTCGGCCCCATGTGTGGGACTACTTGATTCTCATTCTTGGTTTTCTGTGTGGCCAGAAAATATCTATCTAGTAGTTGCACGCTAGCGCGCTAGCGCGTCCTGTGGCAGGCAGTGGCGCAGTGTCACCCATCGGCTGACCTTCCCAATAGGGTTAGGGCAACACCATGGGAGACTGAAACCATGGCTCCTCCTAAGTCTACCATCAAACTTGCCACGTGTCACTATCAGGAGCCTGGACCGGCTACGTTTCCCTGGGCTTCACCTGCCGGAGGATCGTCTTCATGATCCTGGATTTCTTTGGGAACCGCCCAGAAAGATGCCAGCACTTGGTATCAAGGCGTGACGCCCAACAGATTAAAAAGTACTTGTAAGAGTCTGGTCGTACCAGACATCGTTCCCGTAACCGATGAGTTCGTGCTTCTCGGAACTACCGTAGCGCGCGACTGGTCGGTCTCCCGTCTTAGTCATGTGGATAAGACTTTGCGAGACTGGGTACTGTGAGCTCGTTCGCGTATGTGTATGTCTTACCAGTACCATCCATATGTCTTCGGCGGTTCTGCGGCGGAGGACTGCCTCGCACACCTTTGGTTGACAAAGATAATGGAGCGTATTCCCTCATGCGAGCGGTGCACAGGTGTCATTGGCCTACACCTTATGAGTATTGAGTCTGAGTCTACTGGAGCCAAAGTGCATTGCAAAACGCGCGGTAGAATCTGCCAGAAAGATGGTAATGGTAGCCAAATGCAAAATGTTTTGACTCATCCAACTCCATCTATGTATGCCATAAATCGATGTGCGGAAGGCCTCTGCACTTAGCGAAGCACCCTTGCAAAACGACCACCACCTAAGTTAATCTCCTTAGCATTGTTAAAATTGTTTCTGACTCTCTTGTTGGCCTCTGTCGAATCTGTGGCTGCACGCTTCCTGGGCTGAAACGGCCGCAAAAGAAACAACGACTCGCGGTCGTTCAGCCCTTCACGCTGCTCGTTCTCATGATCGTCGTTAGTCGGCGCATTCGTTTGGGCCCCTCTGCGGGTGGAGTATGCTGCTTCAGGTCCTCTGTCTTCAACATCCCTCTCGGTCTCTGCCGTCTCGATTTGTATGTTGGCTTCTTCGTCTCCAATATCCCTCCCGGTCTCATCCTCGGGACCGCTGTGGTCGTGGGTGTCGGGTGGTACTTCAGGGTCTTCGTCTCCATCCAGTCGCTCCGTCTCTGCCTCGGAATCCTCGCCCTCTGCGCTCTGAATTGCATTTGTCAGTTCCTTGGTCAACTGCTGTGATGACGAAAACCTTTCTGCCTTGGTCGAGCACCTGGTCTGTGGGAATGGAGTGAAACCCAAGGTCCGGTTGGTAATTCCAGGTTGTAGCCTAGGATTCGGGCGCGGCTTGGCGAATGCGCTCGTGGGTGCCCGACGCGCTGGGAGCGTCTTCCTCCAGTGAAATTGAAGTTCGCCCCAGTCCCAGATGGCGCTGAAATCGTGAGGTGCCGGCTGGTCTACCACTTGCTTGACGGTCCGAGCCGTCGCCTCGTCGCCAAAAACGGGCGTGCAGGTCGCGGAAGGTAGTGCGTCTTCCCCTGCGAGCCCTTGGCAAGGTGTGACAGGTAGCTCCGCTGGGCAAGAGAGCTTGGGCGTCACCGGTACGTCATCCTCCAGAGCTCTGCCGTCAGGATGTATACCTAGAGCTGTCGGGGTGATGGTGCTAGCACTATCAGACAGCTCATCATCAGACTCCATCACACCATTGCGCCTGAACACTTCCTTCTTCGTCATTCGCTTCTCTTCCTCTGTAAAGGGTCCTGTTGTCCAAGGTAAAGACGGAGCGTTCGAGGAGCTGTCGCGTGTTGGGCTTTGGTCCAGGCTCAGCAGGTAATCCAGGCCTTTATCCACGCTCCACCGTGCCTTTGGATTCTCCAAAAGCATTCCTTTGAAAAAAACCCGCCATTCCTGAGGGCACTCCGTCTCTATGATTGGACCAACTTCTTCATTCATCCATAGCCGTACTTGGGAAGACGAGGCCGGCGACCAGTTCGATTGCTTCCGGAAGGGGTCGTACTCCGCAATCATACAAAACATCATGACGCCAGCAGAGAAGCTGTCGGCCTTCTCATTGTAAGGCTTGTTATCTAGGACCTCAGGCGCGCAGTACCAGGGCGACCCACACCTTCCCTTCACCATGCGGTTAGTAGACGCCACCATGCCATGATCAGTGTATTTGGCGACCCATCGGACACGCAGACGGCCCTCGGCGTAGTATTTTATGAGCTCCAGCATTACATTAGCAGGCTTGATGTCGCGATGCATTATCCCGTGGAAGTGTAAGTACTTTAAGCCACAAAGGAGCTGCTTGGCCATATCCAGCTTGTCGATAGGAAAGGGGAGACACTCGTCGTCAAGGCAGTATTTCTGGCGTTGTTCGATGATCCACGGTCTGTCATCAGCTCCGGGTTTGTAGGAGATGTCGTAGATTTGGTTGACGTGAGGCTAGCGAAAACACAATCGTATTAGCAGGGAGCCAGTCCAGAGCCGGAGCATCCGCACGAGGGACGCGAGCAAGAAAGATAGGAGAAGAAAGGACAGATATACTCACATGCGGGTGATTCATTACAAACTTGGCTTCTATTTCCAGCATTTCTCTATAATTCTGCTTCGACTGATCATCGTTGCCCGGTAGTCTGACCACTTTTGCGACAAGATCTGGTTTAGGGGGGTTGGATTGGTACTCTTGGGGATCTTCCTTTAGCATCTCGGCCTGTCGTTTCTGGATGGCGGTCTGCTCTGGCACGACTAGGTTGGAAACAGGATGACCGATGATTTTGACAGGATACACGTCTCTGAAAGCACCGTTCCCAATTTTGCTACCGTCTATCTGGTATACTGTGCCAGACAGACCTGTCCGTGTCTCGTATTCCATGACAGTCGGACCTGTCCGTGTCTCGTAGCCCGCACGCGACGGAGCCCGGGTGGAACCGCCAGTGGAGGTAAGACCAGGAAAGTATGCCTCGTCCATGCAATTCCCACGTTTATAAAAGGCATCGGTGTGTTTCTTGAAGACTCTCTGTTCCACCGCGTTGCGTGTAGGTGACCATATCCAAAAATTCAGACAGTCGGGGTCGTTATCGTTGAGGTATATTTTGGCCGGCCGGTCAAGCATCACGCTTTGACCTAAGTCTCGCCTGAGAGTGGTTGTCCCTATCTCGATGCGGATTGGGGGGTGTCGAGAATCTAATTCTGGGGTGATTCTTGGGGTAGGCTTCCTATTGGGGCCAGGCGCAAAGTCGATGCGAAACATCGAGCTGCTGATACCACTTTCGGCGTTTAGCGGATACAACATGTCGCGCAGCCTCTCGCCTTTTCTCCTTGAGCTCATTGTTTCTGCTCCGTGGCGCCAGCCGTCCTGCCGGGTTGGAAGCTTCAGAAAGGAATGACACAGGATGCGATCAAGAGAAATAGAGGCATGCATCTGTCCCCGCCACGGTTCTGGCTTCTCATCGTCAATCTCGGCGTCGGTCTCTTGCGACCCATCGCGGAGAGGCGGTTCCCAGACGTGCGCTTGATTCAGTTCGAGGAATTGTTCTGCCCACCGGCCCTCGATATGACCCATCAACACCGCAATGTCGCCGAGGCCTGGGGCCCCAGGTGATGTGCCTTCGACACACCTTGCGGGTTCCTCGCCGGTAGCGTCTTTCCCATATCCGAACAAATTCATTTTATTTTAGGCCTTGTCTAGGAGAGTCATGCAAGAAAGACTGCGGTGCGATCGAGATTAAGATAGGATGGTGGTTTTGGTTGTGGCTTGATCGTTTCAATAACTTGAAGAGTTGTTAAAGGAGAAATAGGAGGAGTGGGACTGGAAAAGAGCAAAAGAGCCTTAGAGATAGGGCGGACAGCTTGGCCGCTTTGATAGTCTGACTCTGTTGGCGGCTCGCTCGGGCCACTCAGGGCACCAGGGAAGGGAGGGGCGGATGGTGACAGGATGTGAGTGAAGGAAGAAATGAGACGATCCACCGACAGGGTATAACGGTAGGGTGTATAGCGGTTGGTGAAACGGCTAGTGAAACGGCAAACCGCTGCCAAGCCCGCACTTCTTAGCGTGTCTGGACATGGACGCGCTACGCCTCGGAGATTCACAGCCACGCCTTGCTTCTGGGAATCCTTCCGGCCATGCGCGACTCATCTTGTCATATTATCACGATCTTTGGAGCGAAGGTGGTAACCTCTGATAATGGGTTTCGTTCTCTCTTCGATAAGATACGCTTCCTTTTGCTTCTTCTGAATTCGTGTCGATTTTCTCGTTCCCTCAGATTGGTGCGGTGTGCTATTTGCTTTTGTCTTTGTTCCTACTCGCCCATTTGCAGGTCGCGCAAAGGGGACAGCCTTTTCGCTCAAGGTTGTCATGGTTGGTCCTTTACCCGAAGCAGATTCCACGAAGGCGCTTGTGTTCAGCTCGTCCTCCAGAGAAGCCTTCAGCCGCTTAGATGCTCTTGTGCTTCGCTGCTTTCTTTTCGTGTATTTGCTGTGACGCTTCTTCTGCACGCGGGTATTGGAGACTCCCGGGGAATCTGGCTGGGAAGCTGCCTTGGAGGGTAGAGAGGTGCGGTCGACCGAGCGTGGTTCGAGGGATATCGGCGGAGTCCGTGTAGGGGACGCAAGCGGCGAGTCGTCGTAATTGTAGCCTGACCGCTGGACCTCGTCTTCGCGGTCTCGCTGGAAATCGTGCTCCGCGTCCCAATACTCCTTCTCCGTATCAGGAATCTCGTGTTCCGCCTTCTTAAAGTCGTCGGGTTTCGCACCCAGGCCAAATAACAGTCCATCCAGAGCATCTGCCGTTTTGAATAGTGTTTGTAGCCCAGATTTTAGGATCAAATCTTCAAGCATTTTCAGTCGCGTGCCAATACGCACTCTATAGTATTCCGGTTGCTTGATTTTCTCTCGCCGTCTTCCTTCCACCTCCTGCTGGCTCATATTCCCCCACCAATTCTGTTCTATGAGCCACTGGCAATTGGTCTTGGAGCTATCTTCTTTCGCATCATGACTGCGGATGGGCGTTACATCCTGGAGTCGCTCCCAAATAGCGCTTTGCAAAGTCGGAGGAGTTTGAGGATTCGCGTTTGCTGACATCGCGAGTTTCTATGGCGCAGGACGGGGGCAAAGCTGCAAGGTGGAGGATAGGGTTGCAGACCGGCTGATCGCCGCCGTCGTTCGGGTCTTTCGGGTGGCAGGTCAGTCGAAGATGAATTGGCAGCAGGGCTGAAATAGTTTTCGCGGACGGTTTCGCAGTCGTATTTCGTAGTCGTGGTGAGTGAGGGTCGCTGCTTGATTGACAGAAAGATGCCACTTGTTGGGGAATGTGAAGATGAGGTTGGGAAAAAATTTGGTTGGGAAAAAATTTGGTACGAGGGTGACGGGTTCAGCAACCTAGCCGCCAGGCAAACGATAGTTCAGCCAATCCCGGCCACGCGTTTAATTAAAGGCTGCGCCCGCAGAGAATTGTCCAATCAGGTGCCCAACTCTGATGCGCCCGATCATCTTGGCACACCATGGCTTGGCTCTCGGAGTTTCGTTAGCCCGACGCCGAGATGCAGGGGCAGAAAACCTGATGCGAAACCTGGCCTCCTCGATTACGCACGGACCACAAGTCCTTTTTTCACTTACATGATCTCTATTTCCAATTATTCGTCACCTTTGTGAACTCCTCTAGAAGCTTGTCACAAGGCTCGCAAAATGACATTCCCGGCGATTCTTGGTGCCTCTGTAGCTCATCAACACAACCACAAAGTACGTAGCCCCCGAATTTTGTCTAGCGACAACCCTCTTTCTGACATCCTCTCTCTGTCACCCTCGCTCTGGCACCTGATACAGGCGTCGTCGTTTCTGCGCAAAAACATCCACTTAGTCTGCCTGGTCCCGCACCGTGCACTTAGTGTGTGTGAGCCAGCATGAGACTTATTATGCTAGAATTTGTGCAATGTAGATAGTAAGCCCGCAGGTTTCTATCACCACATCAGCATGCGCCTCAAACTTCTACTCCCTCATAAGACTCCCGTCCCCTGGCCGCGCTTTTCGGCTTCGCCTTCGACCGCTACCACGGCAAGCTCACTGTGTATGCTCATGGCAGATGGAGTCTTGAGACGATGCGTTAGGAGTTTGGTGGGAGGTAATACCCCTGATCGAGGCGGGTGATCAACCCTGGATGACCTCCCGGTTCAGGTGCACACGGGATTTCCAGTCCCACGGCAAAAGCAAGATGCCAACCACCCTGAAACCCGACGAGCGAGCGACTCAGCCCGAGCCGTGCGACCTCAGCCAGTGCTTTACCACCGCACGAACGTGCCTACATCCGGGTCATACCACGGCGGAAGCGAGTCCACTAGCTTGACGAATCTGTGCCGTCGGAGAACAAAGAAGTCTGGCGAATGTTCGACGTGACGCCGAGCAAGGAGTCTGTGGCCAGGGGCTATAGTTTGTGAGACACGGGAGCTGGCTGGGAGCGCTTGGAGAGGGAAAGAATTGAGTCCATCTGGCTGAGAATGTTCTCCGAGGTCAGTACTAACTTTGACGAGGACGAGTTTTACCATCCATGCAAGGAAAAGACAGCACTGGACGAAATTGTGGCAGACCCGGGCTATTCGCTTGCCCCAGTACCAGAAGGAGAGCAAGATGATGCGTGGAACGGGACTGTGGACAACCAGAACAGCTTGGAAGAGGGTAAGAGTTGTACAGATGCTCAGGACGACATGCAGAGCTACGTCCGAGACTACACCGAGGTCGCCTCGAATGATATGAAAGGGTTGGTGCAGAGACTGTGGGGGCAGTGATGACACAAATGAGAACATTTACATATTCAGCAGCATGAGGAGTTGTGCCCTTGACTCAGAGGCGATGGACCGGAAGCACGCGTTGGACGATGGCTCTTCGGGACGCCCTTGACGCGTTCTACGCGCCTTCAGGACCAACCAACCGGCTACGTCCTAGAGGCAACGTCCTGTTCAGGCAGGAATCGTCATAACGATGCATGGAATACATCACGGGTAACTGGGACGGTCAGAGAGACGTTCGCGAACACGCGCCAAATTCACATGACGTAGAAGACAATGAGGAATTTTCAGAAGCAGGAAACAATCGCTTGGACACCACCTAATTGTCCGGCACGCCCGCTCGCGTAAACATGAGGGTTGAAGGCTTCAACAGATGAAACCATGATTCTTACGAAACACACTCCGATGCAGAGCATAAGATACTGGACGAATCACCGGAAAGGACTTGTGCAAGACGCACCCAGACCCCGGACACCTGCAAATTCCGACTCCAATCCGTAATGGTGGCTGCAGAACCACCGCGTAGATTAAAAAAGCAAGACAAATGAAACCGTCATGTAGAGTTGATTACCGGTCCGCTTCTCCCTCCGCCCACAAGCTCATCGGCCTTCCATCGCCACTTCGCCCTCTCCATATAGTGCAGCTGCCTCAAAACCACCCAATAGGTCATCGTCATCATCGTCGTCGTCCACAGTGGCATGCTTGGTCCGCGTCAAGTCCCCAGGTCCTTTTCAAGGGGGGCGTTCTGGTCCAGCGCCCCAACATTGACGCTCGCCGGTTCAAAGGTCGGTGGCTGAGATGCTGGCACGTCCGGAATCGCTTCAACAGTCTTGTTGAAACCTGCATCACGGCGGAGTTGTTCGAGGATATCGAGATCGCTTGGGTTGGTCTGGGCGTCTTCTAGGGCTATATCGAAGGAGGACTCCAGGACAAGTGCGACGCTGGGTACCTGGATCGGCATGATCTCTTCCGCTAGTTGCTCCGTATTATACTTCGGTGTCTGCAGGAATTCTGGCCAATCGTCAACTCAAGGATCACGGGAGCTCGTGCTCTTGAAGATCCAGTCCTCGTGGAGGGGGTTAGCAGAGGAATTCCTTTTCCCAAACGATGGTGACTTCGTTGATGTCGTCTGGCCTGCCGTCGAGCCACGTGTCGACTGCGACGTAACCATCCTGTGCTTGTCTCCATTGGAAATACGTATCGACGATAGCTTCAATGCAGAACGGGGAGCCCTGCTTTTCTAGCTCATGAGCAACGTCGAGTTCTGCCGGTGAGTCATCCTCTTCGCGGGCACCTTCTTGCGAAGCGCTAGCATCTTTCTGCCTGCCTTTTATTTTGCGGCTTCTTACGCCTGGATAAGCTTCACGCCAGCGTCCTGGTATTTCTGGATGTCCTGAACCTCGCCAGGCTCAATCGAGTAGGCAAGACCAAGGTACATGTTATTTGGTAGGAAATCTCCTTTTTCTTTTTCTGCAGTCTCTTGTAGTTGTCTACCTGTCTGCGATAGACGAATGCGTTATTTTTCAGCAGCAGCGGTTGTTTCTGGGGTTCCTGAATGGCTATCTTGTACAGCTGTTTCAGTATGGCGAAGTTGAGCACTTTTGCTGGCCATCCGTACCAGTATTTTTGCATTTACCGTTCGGTGTATTCCAAGAGCTTGACTAGTTTCTGCTCTGTCTCGTCGACCACTTCAAAATTTTCGTTACTGAAAATAAATTCCTGCATCCCTTCACCTTCCAGGTGTGACTGCCGCGGGCGGATGTCGTCACTGGTAGCTTTGATAAGCACTTCAGTTGAAGACTTCTATTAGAGCCTTGAGAGTCCGGCGTGCTTTCTCGCCAACTTTGGGGCAGTCGACGTTAGGGTAGGTTGTGAAAGAAAAATGCCATGTTGCATTTCTTCACGGCCCCGGTCACCAATGGCATCGCAGTCTAGAGAGGAATGCTCTTGCGGGTGCTTGGGGCAAACATACATGCTCACGTCGGTGGATGTAGGATTCAAACGTGCCGTTGTGACCATGATGCCTGAACTTATGGGCCCTCCGCCAGAGCGCGAGTATCCTTTGTAGACGATTCGGAAGCGATTCTCATCGAATGGCCCATTGCTGCTCCGGACTAATTTACTGTCCGCCTTCAAGGAGCACGCCGGCAGCGGATGCACATATTCGTGAATGTCGAAAGAGGGAGCTTTTGCACAGCTGGCCGAACGTCTTTTTCGAATGGGCGCTTAAATCAAACTCGTCCAAAGAGGTGGTTTTGTAATGGTACAGGCTTCTCGCCTGAACTGACTCGGGGCTCGCCATTGTTTGTTGTGGTATTCGTTGATTTGGACTTGCTCTTATCCTCCGCCTCTCCGCAGCCGCCCCCTCCCTCTCCACATCCAGACCATCGTTGGCCCATCTTGATGGAAGAGCCATGGGGAAATCCCGAGAAGAGTTGACGCGGGATGAACTGAATCAGATGACAGAGAACGGGTTCGTTGGTATGAGAAGGCAGTGTGGTAGGTGGTCCAGAATAGCCCCCTAGGGTCAAGAACGTAGCCATTGTCATCTACGAAGTGTGCATACTTTGTTGGCAATTGGAGAACCCTGTGCTTGATTAACCGCGACGAATGAATGTCTGAGTCGGGGGGCGCACCAAGGAACCTACTGGGTCTTACCACGCCGACTTTGACCGCGAGTCTGACCAGGAACTGCAACGCCAGATTTCTGCTTTTTCTGTCCAACGCCGGCAGGCCTTCGAGAGCAAAGTATTGAGTGGGGGAGACGAGTAGGTTTCAGACCAACCAGGTGCGATTTGAGTTGCCTGTGAATCGATCAGTTTCAGGGTTCCACAACTTAGCTCACAGAGATTTTATTAAGAGAATTTTCACAGACGAATGGATATTGCTAGACAAACAGATTGAGGCCGTTTGATGAAGGTTTGATGAAGATCTGATGAAATTGTTACTGTTGAAAGCTGAGTTGGTGGCGAGGTTGAAAAGGGCAATTCAGATTGGAAGCGGAATAACTATAATCCTCCAAGGTCACGTGTTTTGTGTTTTCAACAACCAATCGATAAGCTCCGACAAGGGTTGACCAATCTGAAGCGTGGCTGTTTGTCCATTTAAGCCGGTAATACTAGCTCAGCTACGCTTCGCTAGATTACTGTCAGAGAGCTTTGGGGTGGGATCGTTAGACGGAGAGTCAGAGGGTTGAACACGTATCTTGATTTGTATAAAGGTGTCCTTAAGACATCGACTTTTCGCACTGTTGAGGGTTTCTCCAGCAGTTGCGAGAATAGAGGTCCTATTTATCTCTTTCTGTTTGTGTCTCGTGGGGGCCGCTTTGGCACTTGGGGGCTATTCGCCCCATGGGGGCCATTCGCCTGATGGGGGCCACTCGCCCCATGGGGTGTTGTCGGCCGGGGAGCCCGGGTGACAATTACAGGCAACCTCGTCAAAAAAGTCGCGGATTTGATTGGTGCGGAAGAGTGTTGAAATCCGATTGGCTGCTGTTTGTACCGTCACGTGCTACCTGACCTTTGACCAATAACGTGGGAAAAAGCGCCTTCGTACAACGGCGACTTCGCCTAAAGTTCGGCAGAATCTAACACCACTAGAATTGTATGGGAATCAATTCTCCATATAGAGTCTGTCTACGGACTCGCTTCCCTCTACCTCTACCTCCACCACTCTCACTGCTAGTGTCCAGTACCCAGTACCCAGTGCCCGTTCTTTCTTCACCTTCAGTCTTTTCGCCACGCTTAGCAGGTTGCCTTAGGGAGTCACGGGGTGCAATTGCCGCCCTACAGCGGATTTTACTAGCTCAGCTACGCTTCGCTGGATCATCCTCCCGTTCCTACTTCGCCCTTGCTCACACAAAGTCGCTTCTCTTCAACCCCGACCGCAACCCTATCCTTCACTCCCTCCTCAAACGCACCTTCTACGCCCAATTCTGTGCAGGGGAAACTGCGTTGGTGGTCCAAAAACCAACTGCAAAATTGAAGGAGACCGACTTCAAGGGTGTCATATTGGGCCACGCGAAGAGATGGTCTTCAGCAAAGAAGAGGCAGACGGCCTGACTGTGACCAAGGATGCGGCAGAACAAGCTCACATCGATGCAGAGGAAATTGCAACGTGGAGGCAGAACACCATTGACACGGTGGATCTTGCCCATCAGAACGACTTCGTCGCGCTGAAATTCATGGATGCTGGACGGCAAGTGCTCCGACATCTCCAGGCGACCATTGCATGTTCATCAGAGTTCGAGCAGGCTGAGCACGACATCTACACTAGAAGGAACTCCCTAGTGCAGAGCCTCCAACATTTCTGCTCGGAGACCGTCCCACCTTTCTATAGAACCGAGTACACAGCACCGGCCACTTTGACCTCTTTGGATCTCATTCAATCATACCCTTCGCGCTACCAAATGTCGGCAGACGGCGAAACCGTCCCTAAGGACGGAACTGAAGTGACAGACACCGGCAAATACAAGGGGAAAGCGGTGGAGCAACCCGCAATGATGGGGGAGGACGAACTTGACGACGAGAAAGAGGAAGAAGAGGCCAGTATCGTTCTATTGCATGATATCAGTTGCCGACAGCTACACGGACTTCCATATTGATTTTGGAGGCTCCTCTGTGTACTATCACATTCTGCAAGGGACAAAGACGTTCTTCTTCATGCTGCCGGAGGGCAATCACCTAAAGAAGTATGAACAATGGTGCAACTCAGAGTCGCAAAATGAGATGTGGCTGGGAGACCTCTGCGGTGGCAATTGTACAAGTGTTGATCTCGAGGCAGGAGACAGGCCCTTGTTAGGACCTTTCTGCTTCTCCTCCATCGGTAATCCAATCGTGATATCCCCCGCGGTGCTGGCAGCGCCACGACCGACCGCGCCGGCAAGTAAGGACGTGGCTGCGTCGTTGGCATCTGAGGGGCTCATGCTCGCAGTGCCAGTGATGGGCGGTAGAGGTCCGGTACTCTGTCGGTGTTTCTTGATCTTGTCATCTTCCAAACGATGTTGGGGCACTCAGTGGGACAAGTCATGGATGCATTCTTTGATATTGTCCCGCCGGTTCCGTTCAATAGGCCGATGCTAATTCTCGGACAACTTTCATCTACACACCACCATGAGGCAGGGGAACGAGCATCAGACATCACTAGATGCAAAACTCCTCACGCTGGAACGAAGCATAAAGGCGCTCATTCAGAGTCTCAACTCCCCGTCCCGTCCACAAACACTGGGTGGTTCTACAATCGCTACTACAGAGACAATGCGTTCCGGGCACGATGATGAAATGAAGACCTATCTTGCCTTCGTCAAACAATTTCTGAGAATCGCTTCTGCTGCTGCCAGTACAAAGATCCTCGTTGAGTACCATCTCCCCACCAGTCGATGCTTATACGTAACGTAGACGAGTCGGTCAAGATTTGTTGTGATACCTGGATAGTCCTTACTACTGAAATCGCTATCTTTTCAGTTGTGGCGTGAAGACGGCCATAACTGACTGGAGCAGCTGGGTGCCCTGGGAGATAGTCACAGCTATTCCCCTTCCCATCCCGGGCTGTTGCCGCCTTTCAGACAGCATATCTAACGAAAGCCCGGCGACATGTACGAGACAGAGTTGTACTCCCCGGTCGGAGTTTGCTAGGCGCCCTAGTGCTTCCGACCTATTCTCTTGACAGGCGACCACGTTCGTGTCGCTGCGGCGGCGAGTCACGCTCGACCGAGGGGCTGAGATCGCAGACTGGAGTCTTCGCTCCCGCCAGTTCATCTTCATCATCACCGTCACTGTCTGGGGGCATAGATTTGGCGACTTGTGTAATCTTCTTGGGGTAAACGCTCGATCCTGGATCTTGCTGGTGGTCTCGCCCACTGTTTGAGGTCTGGATTTTACTGCTCTATCACCTTTAAAATCTCCCGCCCGGAGAGCCCAACGCCTCGCGCGGCCCCTCTAAATCCCATGGAATACATAAAACCTGCCGGCCGAGGTAAAATGGCTACCTTCAGCTCTTGTACAAGACTAGGTCTGTCACCCGGGCTGGCAACCAACCCTCCGGTTGACAACACCCCATGGGGTGATTGAGGCAAGCGGCCCCCATGGGGTCAACGGCCCCCAAGTGCCAAGGCGGCCCCCACGAGGTGCACACAGGAAGAGATAAATAGGACCCCTGTTCTCGCACTATTCAAGAAACCTTCAACAGTGCGAGAAGTCGATGTCTTAAGGACAGCGTTATACAAATCAAGATACGTGTTCAACCCTCTGACTCTCCGTCTAACGATTCCACCCCAAAGCTCTCTGACAAGGTCTATCTTCCCCTTGACTGTACTCCTTGACGCCTGAGCCTAACATAGCAGCAATGCATAAAACAAGACTATTGTCTCTTGAACGGTGAAGGAAAGGTGTATGAGTGACAAGACTTGCCCGGTGATTGAACGTGTAGTCGTCGTTCTCACTGTTTCAATGCCGTCTTGATCTCGACTGGTTTGACTCGTTCGACCGACGCTTTCCCATCTGGACCGGCCAAGAGATGCAGCGTTAGAAGCAGCGAAGGGGTCATGGCCGCCGCGATGGCCACCTCGACTATATTAACGGCCACCACCGCCACCGCCTCCCGAATAGCGAGCCATTTCTGCAAGACGAGGATCGATACTTTGTTTCGACTCCTGCAGAGCGGAAACGAGGTCACGAGCTTGCTTGACATCTGGAAAAAAGTCAATGATTTGAGATATACGAAGACGGGGGACAACAAAAGGCATACTGTCGGTTGTGAAAAGCGTGATGGCGGTGCCCTTTTTGCCCGCTCGACCTGTTCTGGCGCTGGGGTTGCGGAACGTAACCCCAGCGGTCCGGGCCAGGAACCGGTCGTCTTTGAACTGGAGGTTGAACAGGGCGATGAGCCAGTCCAGGGTTTGGACGTTGTCGGAGCTGAGGTCCAACGAGGATCTCCAAGCTGAACAGCCGCTCAACCAAAGCGACCTCCGGGAACGATATTTCCCAACCAATTTGAGCATCCAGCTCATAGCGAATTTCTGGAGCTTGACCATGTCTATCGCAAGGACCCGAGCAGGCAAAGGGCCTGCCTGGTGTGCCTTGCCACACAGCAAGATCTTGACAGTCAACGGCTATCGGAGGTCCAAGGGCAATATCATTCAGTGGATCGAGTGTATCGATACGCTGAATGCGTTCTGGCAACCCTCGGGCAAAGATATGAAAAAGACTCCTCCGTCAGCCAAGCTGCCACCCACTATGATGATATCGCCGCCTGTCCTAGGGGGTCCAGAGAGCATGCAGACTGCTGTGTCTGGGCCCCGAGGAGCAGTCCGCAATGCTGTAGTCCCTGTTCGAGCGGCCATTTCGACGCGATATGCTCCGTGCTCTGTGCCTCTGTGACTTACCGAGCGCAGTGCAGCAGACCACAGAGCATAACCCGAGTCACCGACCTGTCGGTACGAATCAGTTGGGGCACCGTGGGACTTACCGTGTGGGTTGTCTGGAAGCACATTCGACATCGGTATATCAACCTTTTGTTGTCGCTCTTCCTCTCAGAACCCCGTGGACCGGCGTCGCTTAGGGACCCACAGTGAGAACCAGCACTGGTGCAGCCGTTGGTGTTGTCACCAAATTAGTGCACCAGCATGTCACGCACAGCATTGGGATCGTGGTCCTGAATATCTTGTGTGATGGTGGTGCGAGACGACTCGGAAGTCTACTCGAGAGTCACCTGTAAATCGACTTTTGCAGAGAATTCCTCCACGCTACCAGTCCACCGACACATTATAGGACAATTCGGTATTGAAAGACGCAAGATAAATATGGTGTTAACGACTGAATATTTGACAATGCCGAGATCGACGGCTCCTGAGCTGGGAATTGGCGGAAAATGGTCCCGTCTCGGGCCGATCCGACACAGCCGGAGCTCGAACCCCATCCAAAACTATAACTACTGGTGCCTTTAACTTCGCGAGTGGTAGACAGCTGAAGAGAGGGAAGATTGCCTTCAGTAGACACATAAAACCAAAAGAGATATAAGATTACGTGAATAGTATAGTTATCGGCGCCGAGCCAAAACGATATAAAAAGAATCGGATTTTCGCGATTATACGACCCGACGTGCCAATAAAACAGACTAAACAATACCGAGCTCCTTAGGCAGACTAAGGGAAACCTCCTGAGCATATTTATAAAGCGCCCAGCCCGGATACCGACGCTCTAGAGCCGTTAACGCTGTCAAATCCGGCCCCCGCCGACGACGTGACTGTCCACTAACTACGCCCCGCACGGGCAAACCGAGCATGATACTAACATCCCCTATTCTGCCGCTCCGTCGGATGATAATCAGAATACGGATCGGACGCGATTCGGCGAAGTTGGTTTTTTTAACCCGTCGATTTTGGGGCCAAAAGTTCGATCACCGAATTTCGACCCGAAATAAATCTATCGTGACCGGCGTGTCGCGAAACGTACGGAGGTTTACGACAAATTACTCTCCGGGATGTGGCGCGGGCGTAAGATTAGCTTTCGTGTCCCGGGGGCCCCCTCGGACACCCGGACCGGACGTATCTCCGCCAATTACCCTCTGGGAGTGGGAAGACGATAGGCTCGGGAATGAGGAGTATAGAGTGAGGCTAAGAGGACGTACAGGGAGTGCCCAGATGGCTGGCCTGTTCGGAAAAGCTCTGCGGAAAGGGGCGGGTGGGGGGTTGAATCGAGGAGGTTTCTCTTCCACCTTGGGTTTCCGGGCCCTGTGCGGTTTAGGGAGTTCAATTCTGGGGAAGCACGAGAGGAGGTAGGACGTATGTATGTACGTCGTCTTCCACCATCCACGAAGGGGACGCCGTCATCATCATCAGCACCATCACCACCCCCCTCATCATCAGCACCAGCACCAGCAAGCCAGGAACTCAGCCAGTGAGTAAGTAAGCCAGTAGGCAAAGGACGACAGGGTCAGGTCAGGTCGGCGCCGCGCCACGATCGATCGAAGTTTGAGCGGAGCGAAGCAAAGAGAAAAGAGACCAAGCAGAACGAGGAAATGCAGGGCAAGGCAAGACATGGCAGGCCTGGCCCCGCGTGCCGACCGGAGTAGGGAAGCGAGGCGAGGAGGGGTACGTATGTACGTCGTCTTCCACCACCAACGATCAAACGAACGGGATTCCATTATCGCCATCACCAGCAGGAGCAGAAGCAGGTGTAGAAGGAGATGCAGATACAGGTGCAGAAGCAGAAGCAGAAGCAGCATCGCCACCATCACGAACACCATCGCCATCAGCAAGTAAGAAAGCCAACCCGCAACGGAATGGACATGACATGACAACACGAACGAGGACAAGGCAAGGGGCAGACGACCACGACCGTCACCACGACGGCCAAGCTACTGCAACAAATCTCGACGGAGAGGCGTTGGGGGTAGGCAACGCGTCTATGCCGGCCCGGATGTCAAGACAACCGTTGCAGTGGAATCCAGAAGTCGACGACCCGGACTTGTTGGAGTGTATGTTCGACTCGTCTCCGGAGCTGGCTATGTTCGGGACCATACCGAGTCTGGAGCACATAAACCGACGTCACGGGTAAGCTGATCGTGGATTGCAGCACGGTCCACCCCGAGACCGTCGACCCACAGACCAAGAGGGTCTACACCACCGGCATGATCAAGAAAGGACTCGACGTCCTCTCGAAACAGGGTGGTCATGTCCCATCGCAGGACTCTTTTGGCTCATAAACTCGGCAAGCTAAATCTGGGTGAAGGCGTCAAGAAGGGCGATGCCGCACCAAAGGGATCTAGCGAGACGAGTGGGCAAGCCACGCCAATGACCGACAACGACAACGAGTCTGCGTCTGGAAGCAACTCTAAGAGGAAGAGAAGTGGTGCCGACGTGGACTCGGGGTGTGATTAACCAACCCGTCAAGCAGCAGGCTCTCGAGGCGATCCGTGCTTTGATCCCCTGGCAACGCATTCCGGTCATGCGTGGACGTATGAGATTGCGAATCACTTGTCCCAACAACATCGCAAAGCAAGCAGCCATTCTAGCTCATGCTATGGCAGTGACACGAGCCGTCGCTTATTTCAATGGACAGTCCCCCTAACCTAACAAGAACAATGCTCAGTTTTTGATGGAGTCGTTGGAGAGCGATATCCCGCTCCCAACGGCACTTTACATCGAAGAGGAGCCTCGTCGTCTTCTGAAGCACCAATATCTTAGTTTCTGCAATCTGCTCCTCTGAGCGATCCGTACCTTGATCGTGTAATATTCTCAACTCAACCGCCTCGACGAGATCTGAAGGACGACAGCACGGCTCTTGTCAGCCTCGACGCTTCTGCCCTTTTACGCGCACCTTTTCGGACCGGTGTAGCTCTCCCTGCGGGACATGGACCTCGATTGAGACGTGAGACCCTCCAAACGCCATGTTGCTTGGCTATTTTACCCTCTCGGACTTGTTTGCTCCTGCAATCTTAGAGCGCGCATACAGGTACTTTAGCGTTTTTTTTTGTTGGATCCCCAGCAAGTGCGTATTCGCGGACGAGCAACGCCAGCACGGAGATCTAGACACGAAAAAGAAGGTGGCTGGGAATTGGACGGAATCACGAAAGCCAAGCTCTCAAGCGAGGAATCGAGATGACTTGCAGCTGCACAACTGAGGAATGTTCCAATCCACACGGGGTTGCTCGCCTACTCCGCCTCTTCTCTGGGCTGGCTTGAGGACTGACGGTCGATCTCTGTCGTCCTGGCTTGATATCCCCGCGGTTTTGAGCACCCATTGTTGTCCCGTAAGAGACATACCTGTGCAATGGTTTATCATAATAGAGAAATTCCACCTCTTACCTACCGCGCTAACGGGCTCGGGGCTTGATTTTGGGAAAGGAATACCAGCGCCAGGGAGTATACCAAGTACTGACTTTGTATGGTTTGACATCTCGTACAAACATCCTACGCCAGCTTGAAGACACGGACTACTGTTGCTGCGCTGGACACCGTCGCGTTCCATCCATTTTCGCTTTCAAGTGCCAACGCCTCATAGCTCCTTTTGGCCGCGCACAGGTGGTCTATATACTCCGGCCATAAGATGCCGCGATGGGATGGTATATTCCAAGCGAGGTCGGTAGGGGGCCCCGCATCGGATTTGGAGGGGACAGGGAGCGATGTTTACACGGTTCGGAACAACAGCCTTGCCTGTGGGATGGCTGGATGTAGTGGTAAAGAAGCTTTCTGGGTTAGATGTTGTGGAGGAGAGGATATGGATGGAGAAGAAAAAGATGGTATGAGGGCTCCGTACCGTCGCCAACCAGTCCTTAATATTAGAAGAGACAGAAATAGTTTCCGCAACGTAGAATGGCTGCTTCCAGGCCTCCCAGAGACTGCTCGTCTGTTGTCGATATCGCTTGCGCTTCTCCATCACTTGGATAGGTGGATTCACTCAGCGCCGTTTAAAGAGGGAACTAAGGTCTTATGATCTTCAACGCGGCGGCGTAAATACTCCCTCTTCCCACGACACGACGTATCCTCTAAAAGTTCATATACACATTTGCCATCACTCGCCCGGTTTTTATTCGCCATACATATGCTGCATCCCCCGCCCCTATAGGCCTTTTCCTCCACCTTGACCACAGTGTATCTTGCTCCCAGCGCTCTGCCCTCCTTCAAGGCGCCTCTGGCTCCAGTACTCCATACAAAAGCTTTTCCTTGTGCTACGGAACAGTGGAAAAGGATATATGATTAATCTATCTTGTGCTGTGAAAACACCGAGATTATCTTCCCGCCATTATTCCTCCCTCTCTGAATCCGCCCATTTGACCGGCAAAAAAGGTATCATACGGTCCTTCTTTTCCGGGTGCTCAGGGGTTCAGTAGCCTCGATATTGACATCGAGGATTTGTAGACGGTTACGAGGTTTCGCGCGTGTTTTCTAGTCGTTCTCAGGAGAAGGCGGACCTTTTCTCGAATCGTCCCTGATCGGAACAGGAAGGCCATGACCAATGCATGAGGGAATCGGACTTTTGCAACGTAGACGGCGCCATTGCGGGAGGCTTTGACGATGGCCAGGAGAAGAGCAAGATCTGGGTTAAGGACGATGAACTCGACCGTGTCCTGGGAGGGTGTCCGTTCGAGCTCCGCAGCACAGCATCGAGGGGTGACTGGCCTTTAGCACGTCCATTAGGCCTACTTGACGGCAGTTGTTTGTTGGAGGAAAACCACGGTTCTCTCGATGAAGGTACAGAGCGCACCTCACAGCGAATAGGGGTGCCTTTCTCGCGGAAAGGTCAGTCGTGTTCGAGCTGCGCTATACTGTAGGCGCAGCTGTGCCGTGGATGGCGATTGTTTCGCCCCAGTGGCCTAAGCTGTTTCGCTTTCAATAACGTGCCTCTCTCATTGACTGGGGGTCTCAAGACCATCGGCATGGACAAGGACTCGGGTCAATTATGGCAAGACTATATCAACTTCCTCAAGACTGGTCCGGGAATTGTTAGAGGAGTGGTTGGCAGGAGGGGGCAAAAGTCGACGCTTTGCGAGAGGCGTACCAAAAGGCAATTGCTGTTCCCACTGTTGCCCTAACCCTATGAGGTAGGTTGGCCGATAGGTGACACTGCGCCACTGCCTGCCACAGGACGCGCTAGCGCGCTAGCGTGCAACTACTAGATAGATATTTTCTGGTCACACAGAAAAGCTAGAATTGAATCAAGGAGTCCCACACCCACTGCGGCAACTATGCCACTGTGGAAAGAATACGATGCGTTCGAGACCGGGCTGAACAAGATCCATGTAGGTATCGAGACATCAACCTAAAACGATGAAAGTGCTGATCCCGGGCAAAGAACGGATGAAGAAAATTAGAGAACCATACGACAAACTGCTACACGCACTCTATAACCTGATCAAGAAAGTGTCCCTCCGTGAGAAACAGGACATCCAGAAGGTGGACCTCGTTGCTGCCGGCAATGGGGGAGATGGCTCGGAGGAGGACGACATCAACGCTTCCAACGTCGCGGCCAGGAAAGCGGCCCTCGACAGTTAGATTGACACAATCAAGATGACTGCTTAAACATAGACCGTCATCCTCAGTCGAATGGTTTTGCATGCCTGGATTGCGCTAATGCGAGCAACCCGACGAGTTCTAGCCAGGCACGCATAGCGGAGAAGGAAGCACGGACGCTGGAAGTCAACGAGGACCTTTCTCTGTCACGCCAAACTGTGATTCTTCACCGACTAGTATAGTATCGAGCCCCTCTAGGACCTTGTTCTACAAAAGCTTCGGGTCACGCTCTCACGGTTCAAACTGCATCGACAGCGTCTAGGCGACGTGGTCGAATTGCTGAAATACACCCAGGACAACACCCCAGTTCATGACCGGGAGAATGACGGGTTGCGAAACCTAGTCTCGGACTACCTGGATTGCCACATCAAAAAGATTGCAGGCGACGTGAAGCTCGCCGAGTTACTTGAAAATATCGATCTGGTCAAGGACTTTCTGCCCAAGCTCTCGAAAGTGTGGTTGTGTTGAGGTAGAATTGCCCGGTGTCATGAGGAAGCGCTAATGACAAGCCATGAAAGGGCTGCTATACGGAGTATTCGTTAGGTAACTATCTAGCTTCTGGCGAATTATCATTCCAAATCACCCAAGGAGCCACTGCCTCTGTGGAGTCGCCATTGCGATGACCTAGCTACGGTTGTCAGTCGACCACTTACACAACTAGAGGCGGATTCAACTTCGGCTGGAGAAGCAATTTGTATATCGGTAATGCTCGGTTTTGGACGAGGTAGGTATTTCTTGGTTGTGTTCCGCAATCGGTTCGGATACAGGAACTCGGATAAATAACCAGCAGTCTCGAAACATGGCCCCTGCTGGCTGATCGGTGTACGTCAGAAAGGCTCTGTGGGGAGATAAAAGAACCATCAAGAGAGGCCAGGAAGTGGCGAAGGATAGCTGCAGCCATTTGTATTCGTGGTTTTGGAGGTAATGTGTTTCCTTAAGCTGGTGGCTGCTGAAATGAGTGACGGCTGACTGCGGTCACTCGCTCCAGACTCCCAATTTCCCAACTCAACACGATATTTCAACGTTCTGGACCAGCTGAAGCCCCGGATCAACGAGCGATATGAGCGTTACGTCATGTGGCATATTTGGTCCGGAATAGCATTATAGAAAACCCAGATGATCCTTAAGTCGGACCATCTTGTAATGCGCCAACCGTGTAACGCGTCACCGTGGAATACGCCATCCATTACCCACTACCTTTCATTCCATTCATTCGTACGTACCCAATTACTCTCCTTTTCTTCTTTAGTTACAGAATCATGGCTTCCAAGAATGAGCGAATTCTTTAAGACGTGGTAGACGCATGTTAACGTGACGACTATCCCTCTGTCACCCGGGCCTCCCGGCCGACAACACCCCAGTGCTGTTACATTGGCTGTTACAATGTGTCACCCGGGCTTCCTGGCCGACAACACCCCATGGGGCGAGTGGCCCCCACAAGGTATACACAGAAGGAGATAAATAGGACCTCTATTCTCGCACTGTTGAGGGCCACTCGCCCCATGGGGTGTTGTCGGCCGGGGACCCCGGGTGACAGGTGTAGTGGTCGGGGAGCGTGCCAAGAGGCTAGTGTCCGGTGACTTTTGCGGACCTACTGTAAATGGGCAGCGTCCTTACTGCATAATGTGGGATGTAATACATAGGAGGTTGATTGCGATCGAGAAGCCCTGTTAAGATTTTGCATTCTCAAGTGAGATATGTGCCCCCTAGGAAGAGACCAGTCACCATGCCAATTCGTCTTATTCGGACCACACGTCGAAAGAAGACGTTCCAAAGCAGGTACCTGAACAGCAGGAACGAAGAGTTACGCTAGCACGCACCGTAGCTCTGCATGAGCACCTGCGGTAGCTCCGGATCTCAAGATGCTAGGGTTCGTTAACGAGAAGCCCAGACTTTTGTGAAACTCGAAATCCGGGCCCCGAGGATCTGGAACCGCTGGTTGTGCCGCAGTGGAATTTGTCCGTTCCAGGGGAGGGCTGTGGCCAGAGAGACCGCATCTAGCATTGCCAAAAATGTCAATTACATCGGCTGTGGCTCAACAGAGATGCTTAGATATTGTTGAAGTTGGGGAAAGTTGGAAGTGCGGTGACCTGAATCCGAAACCGAATACGCACACCTGTTGGGTATTCCGCCGTCGGGAAGTCGCGGGAAACCCATCATGTTCACGCTTGCGTCCCGTCATAATCAGATGGAAACTGGCGAAAAGATCGACTGTATCCTTGGCCATTCCGGCTCTAGCTGCATTTGCAGCCAGTGCTGATTGCGTCAAATTTTATTCCGAACCCGCTGTACGCTTTCTGGATGTGGAGCGACTCGTGACCAACAGCCCTCACTTCGATAAGATTTTGTGTTTCGCGCGGTGATGAAGCGGCATTCGCAAATCTTTTCGCGCGCCTGGAGAGAAGCTGCTTGCCCAAACGAAGACGCACGATAGGATCGTTACTTCGTGGCTTTGACAACTGTATTGGCAACAAGATAGAGTCCAGGATTGCACCCCACAGACAAATGGTTCATTAATCATCCGAATGGTGGGCTCACGGTGGCCTTTGCATGTCGGTCTGTGACTGTTGAGCTGCTGGTCAGGTCCCTGAGGGGGTTTTAGCATGAGCTCTGCAGAGGGGCCTGCAAACAAGCTCGATACCGCACCAGCTCTCGGTCTCGGAGCTCTGATATCGTTGCGGTGTGTACGCACCCCTGTGAACGGAGCCACTTGCACTAATTGGCAATATAGAAGTGAGAGCAAAGTCAATGCAAGTTGAACGTGAGATCGAGTCTAGTGAGGCGTACCTGACCGTTCATCCCAAATACTGTGTGCAGGGTAAGCGCTTATTTGGACCTCGCTCAAGCTTAATATAAGATGTTCACTCGTTCCATCCTGTGCTCCTGTCACCCACTGCGCACCTCTCTCTCCTCCGCATCCACCGTCAGACCATTCCCGAGAACAACTGCAATATGGTTCGCAATGACTTACAGCCCTCTCGTTGGGTCGCTCGTGTTGATCCCGAACCAGGTCCAACAAGGCGACTCCATCCCCGACATCGACCTTTACGAGTACTCTCCCGGTAACAAGGTGAACCTCGCTAAAGAATTGGCTGTGGGCAAAGACGTCATTAAGGCGTTCCAGCAGCTTTTTCCCGGCTGCTCCGACTATCATGTCCCCGGTTATATCAACAGCAACCAGCTGAAAGATGCCGGCGGAGCCTTCGTGGTCAGTGTCCACGAAGCCTTCGTGTGAGTGGCTTCTCTACAAACAATATCAGAAGGCTCGCTGACGGTCATTGCAGTATGAAGGCCTGGGGCAAGAGCTTAGACGAGCCAAAGAGCAGCGGCATCCGATTCCTTACTGACCCAGCTGGAGCATTCACTCACGCTTGGGACGTAGAGCTGGAGGCGGCCAGGACCTGTGGAAACAATCGAAGCAAACGATCGGCTGTCCTCACCGAGAATGGCAAGATCTCAAAGACGTCTGTCGAACCTGATGGCACCGGCATCTCCAGTCTGGCCTTCCCTACAATCTGTTCTGAAGAACGCTAACCACGGACAGTTTCCGCCACCGAAAAGATACTGTGAATGCCCCAAGTAAATAGTGAATTTCATCGGCGCTTTCTCCAGACGTGAGTACAGCAGCAAGGGCCCGAAAACAAACGAAATACTCGTGGTCCGGCAAAAGTTAGTCTGGATGGATATCCAACAAAGAATCATGAAAAGCTTCTCGGTACTAATCCACAAGGCACAAATGGCAATATTACTCCTCAACTCCATCCGTCCGAAATACCCATTCGTTTATCTACGCATAATAGGCTAGCTGAGTAAGTGCGAACCTCCGCGGCTGTTCTGGGATACGACTCCCTCAGTGACTCGACCGGTCCATTGACGCTTCTGTCTTATTGCCATCCTTGGACGTCTCGGCGTCTTCGCTTCCTACAGCCTTCACGTCAATGTTCTTCAGCATGCCCTCAACTCGTCGACTTCGCCACAGAATCACTCGGCTGCCTCGGCTACCACGCTCTGAACCAGTCTCCGAACGAGAAGAAGCTTTACGGCCTCCTGCGCATTCATCAGGGCAGATTCGAGGAAATTTTTGAGCTGCTGGGCTGCTTGGTCGAGATTCTCGATGAACTATTTCCGCTGCTACTCTCGTGAATGCTAGTGGCTACGACATGCATCGACCTCTTACATCAGCCTTTCCACACCAAAGTACTGGTGGAACGTGGTCGCCGCGAGATCTATCAGCCAATCACTCGGGGTTCGAAGCTCTTGGTCTATTCTCTCAAGCGGGGCCTGTGCGGCAGAGATCTACGCTATCATTTTCACCAAGGCCGATCGTAACGCTGTCATATAATTTATCTGGTATATCGTGCGTTGTCGAGTGTCTGTGATCCGAGCAGCCGTCTCGCCGCAAGCGCTGGCCATTCCGCTTAGCATCACGGTGTACAGGCGCTCTAGTTCGACATCCGCTGTTCGTGGACCCCTCACGCGACAGACCTTGCTGAATTGCGACAATACAGTGGCGAGGAAAGCTGGCGGAGTGAGTTCTTGCACTGCTTCAGCGTCCGTTGATGCCACTGCGGCAGAGATCTCCTCTTTCAGCGCGGTCTCAGAGAACATGAGTGTCGAAGCCTGTAGCTGTTGGATCGCCTTAGTCAATTTACCGTCTGCGCCCGACAGCTTTGCAACTGGGCAAGGATGCCGCGATGGAAGTCTAGCAGATTGAAAAACTTAAAGGTTAGCATGGGATCACGGCCCGTCCGCACCGTGATGTCGACTCGGGATTGCAGATTCATGTAAACCAATAGCACGGAGCAGTCGGCGTGGACCTTCTTGACTCTGGCCAGTGCCACGAAGAGTCGCTCGTCATTCTCGACCGCTGGGTTGGTCAGAACATCTAACTCTTCGTCCGAGACCAGAAAATGCGCTGTGAATACCTTAAAGAGTTGTTCTTTTGTCTTGGTCTCTCTCTTGCGCTTCAGCAATGAATTCGCCCCTTCGATCATGGGTCGACTCTCCTGCTTTACAGCCAAGATGTGACTTTTCATGACTTGAAATGTGGAGTCCAGAGTGTCCAGCTAGGGTTCCACGCGCTTTAGTTGACTGGCTACGGCACCAAAGTCGTGGACGAATCGAGCGTTGATGTCGATTACCTCCCTTACCGCATTGACTTTGAGACTTCTCCGAAGCGATTCGCCAGTCTACGGCATGCTGTGACTGGCCCTCGCATCGAGTAGTCGTAGGGTATCTGTGACGGTCAGGCACATTTGGAACAGAGAACGCTCTAAAGATGTGATTTGCTATTGTACGAGAGACTCAACTGAGGGAGAAGAGGAAAGGAGGAGGGGAAAGAATAGGTCGCCGCACTTTTATATAGCTACCACCCCTACTAAGTCCGCCTCCCCTACCTACTAAGCCGCTACCTACCTAGGTAGCCAATCAGAGTACGCTATTATCCTGTACATGGTACGGGACGATATCGGCTAATCATACTGCTTTATTTCTTAGTCCGGTGTGGTCGGATCTGGTTAGATCTGACCTTTCTGTGTTCATGGCCGTGACAGTATCTCGAATCTCGTGATCGGCGTAGGCGGCTATATAGGACAGCGTTAAGTCTGGTGGTTAGGGCTGTGGGCGTGCGCTTCGAGACGGAGAGGCAGTCGCTTTGTGAGTCAAGGGGACTGTCAAGGCTTGCAGTCAGGGTCTCGAGATAGGGTCTTGACATGCCTGGAAGGCAACACGAGATGTTCTGTTGCAAGACGCGTACAAGGTTCCCAGAGGAGGCTGTACGTGCCTGGCGGGGGCGTCAGCTTCGCCCCGCTCACGTCAACGATCTTTGCGACCCTTCGCAAGTGTGCTACATTGGTTACCGGGTGACAGAACGTCCTTCTCCCTGACGTGATACTGCTTGATGTGGACTGGTTCTTTGCCTGCTGAAGCCATTCTACTCTCACTAACCTTGCCCAATGTGGAAACTGTGCCCAATGAGGTAGCTGTATACGCTGCAAGGACTGGCGTCGATTTACTCCAGACCCTCATCGACTGCGAGGTTTGCCTCTGCATGGAAAATGTAAGGAATACTCTATATCGAACCTATTAAGGTAGTGATGACATTCTTCTTACTTAGCATGTATACAGCCAACTTGCGGGGGTTGCATCCGACGACATTAGAAGCGCATGTGTTCGATATCTCTTCCTCTACAAGATCTTCTCAACGTTAGATGGTACCGCATTTCAAATAATTGTACCGGGTCAGTATGGATAGATCCATCAGGAGATCCAATAGAGCCTCACATCTGCGAAATCAACCACTTCACACCTCCGACCATGTCTTCCACAAGCTGGCTTTACGGGAAAATCCAGACATAATGTAGTAGACCCTCGTAGTGATCGTGCTTGGTTGGAACGTCCGCTTTCTGCAATGCTGCCCCCATCACGTACGAGTCGTCTCTCAGTGGATCTGTTTCACAGCTGGCGAAGTAGACGGGAGAGAAATTATTGCCGTTGTCTGTGGACAGCGCGGTTAACACATCGCTGTGTTTGGGGTCCACGCCGGCGTACTTGTTGAACATCTCCATCGATTTCTTGTTAATGATCGGTACCTCCGTCTTGCTGCCTGCGTATACTTCAAATCAAGCCTTTGTATTTAGCGGCAACGTGGTCGTAGTGGAGCGTTGCCGGCACCATTGCAGCAACATCGCAGACTCCATTGCGCATGGAAGGATATTTCACAATCCACCGCCTGCTAACCCGCCAATAGCGCAAGACTTGTTCGGATGGCCGCCAAAGAAAGTAGCGTCCTACCGTGCCTGCCTTCGTGTCAATCTCTAGTGGTTTCGACTCGACGACCCCCTTACCATTTACCCATTTGTAAGCCTTCAGCCCATCCTCCAGCTGGGTGAGCCAAGTGCGCCCTGGCGTCAGACGATAGTCGATGTTGACCATGATTGACGGTACATCATCCGCCACAAATCTGCACATGAGATCGTTCGAACTCAAATCGCCCGGTCATCCAACCGCCACCAGCGACACAGGCGTGAATGCCGTCAATGCACTTGAATTCAACGTCGAAATAGCCATGACTCTACTGATTTGTGATGGAGACTCTACTGGCCCGTAACCCGTGCGAACCTCGCGGTTCGAACCTCCTATCTTCTCTACTAGAGATACTGCGTTGTCGATTTCGGTTGCGAATATTTGTCTTAGCGTAACGCCCCAATTTGTAGAGCCTGGTTTCTGATCAGAGATATTTGCGGTGATTGTGTTGTCCAAACCTTGGCAGGGGTTGAGCTGCGGGCTGTACTCTGCGGGTAGTGAGCGTTCCACGTCCATCTTCGCTATGCATGCTCGAGATTCTCACAGCTCGCTATTTACATGAGGCAGGCTTCAGTTACCAACAGTCCACGGCTGGTGGTGGTGAGAATGCATTTTCCATGAACCCCTGCACCCACAAGGGGACGAGTATGCTGCCGTTAGAATCTTCCTTACTTCTCTCGAGCGCTCAATGGTTCTTGTACACATGTGACAATCACTAGGTAGCACTCTTCCCGCACCTCATTAGAATCAACAGGAAGAACTGTGAAATATGCTTCCGTTCTAAACATTAAGCTCCTGATTCTCGTATCTTCTCAGCATTTGTGCTTAAGAGTCCATGATCCCGGGCCACCCATATTGATTGCGAGCTCCTGATGTTGCCCTAACCCTATGGGGAAGGTTGGCCGATGGGTAACACTGCACCACTAACTGCCACAAGACGCGCTAGCGAGTTAGCGTGCCACTATTTAGATAGAGATTTTCTAGTCATATAGAAAACTAAGAATAGAACGAAGTAGTCCCACAGGTTATAAGCGCCTAAACGCTTAGGTACGCGTCGCTACTTCATCGTTTAGTTCATCCTAGGTCATCCTTTCCTAACTATCTAGTAGGAATAACCTATCCTTCGTTTATGGCGGGTTTATAGTTATACGGCGAGAGGGTCCTAAACGGAACCTCGTAGATAGCGAAGACAATACAAATCGCGACCCTTTCACTAAGGGTAATTCCATCACGAATCTACCTATTTATCTATCAATTCTTAGATAGGCTAACACCGCGGGGTGTGTAACTATTCTAACCTAGTTGAATTGATCACTAGCCGAGCGCCAATATCGATTATCGAATCGGACGAAACCTTTCCTACTCTAATATCGTGCCGAGCCGGACGGCTCCATAACGCTACAGAAAAGGTGGAATAACAGTCAAAATAGGGGGGCAAGAGTTCCAGAATAGAAACAAAAATCGCCTAATTCTATAGGGTAAATCTAACTATATAATATAGCTATCGGTATACGAGATAGAACTACGGGTATAAGAGTACTATAGTATAGTATCTCGTCCCCTAGTTATCGATCCTCACACCCTAAACGCAAAGGAACGAGCGGCTAGAACAGTAGATTAGTTAGCGACTAAGGAGACTCGACTAAAAGAAGGTTTTTTAGAGGACGTACTAATAGCTCACTATAGAAAATAGCGAGCGTTAGAAGATAAGAAGTTCGAGAAATAGGAAGTTATAAACTCGAAGGTATAGAGTATTATCTATAATCTCTACGCGAATCACGTTAAGCTATTAATCGTATATAAAAAGACTATAAGAGATATACTTATAAAGCTTAAATAGGCTTACGAGTAATATAGTCTTACGGCGATCTATTAATAGACAATTCTAGTCAATAGTTACTCGCTTAAACAGTTCAATACTCTAGAGGAATATATAAATAAATTAAGAGCGAATCGGTCTAGCTTTAACGTATTAAGATACTAGTTTAGTAACGACTTTTAGGTGTTAGTCTTCCTAAAGAGATTAGGTAAAGACTATAAATTAGTAGTGTTATAGATCCTCGATATACCTATAAATATAGTAGTCTTTAATAACACTATTTAGAAGGTCTTCTAATACGATATAAGAAAGGATACTTAAACTACTAGTAATAGTCAATCGAATTAGATAAATACCTTTAAGACTTAGAGCTAGGCTAAGACTAAAACTAGTAATAAATAAAATAAGAATACTAATAATAATAATAGTTAAAATAAGAATAAGGACTCGGAGAAATAGGCCTATCGAATATATAAGATAAACGATTATAAATAAAAGAAATTACAAATCGAATCCTAATCGTGTTAATAATAACGAATCGAGTAAATCGAAGTCTAGGAATAATAAGAGTAGTACTAATATCTCTATCGTAGACTAGTTAACGCCTAAGATACTTAATTATCTCAGAAGTACTGCGAGTTCTAGAGATCCTAGCGAAGATAGGGGGGTATCCGCCAATCGCGCCTATATTTATATAGTTATCTCGTCTGATATTACGGCGTATGAAGTCAAAGAAAAGGGCTTTCTAATCGATAGTAGTATATCTCACTATATAACCTATATAAGAATAAACTATATTAACTTTCGTTAGATATTAATAATAGTAAGATTAGTAGATTATAGCGAGATTAAGGTAGAAGGCTATAGCGATATTATCTTAGATTATAACCGCGACGGCGTTATAATACCTATTCGCTTTAATAAGGTCTAGTATTTCCCAGTTTTGGGAGTTAATCTATTAAGTGTTTATATACTTAAGGAATAAGAAATATCTACTATTCTTAAGAGTATTCCTAAGCTTATAAATACTAGACTCTATAAGAGTAATAAGAGAGTTATAGGTATATAAAAGAAAGATTTTCGTTACCTATTAAGTATAAAAGATAATATCTCGTCTCTTATTAGTCTCTATCGGGAGGATTCGGTTATAGTACTTTCGGTACGAGATAGTAAAACGGCTAGATTATAGTATTGACGAATAGGTTACTTATCGCCTAACTATCTTAATCGACTAAAAATAGTAGCTAACGGTATCGATTTCACGGATTTATTTAGTAAACTCTATAAGGATTATATCCTAGCTAACTAATCTCGTACGCTACGTAAGGGAAAAATAAGTAGCCTATCTACTAGATTATATTAATTAATTTATACCGACTTAGCTAGTCTAATTATATCTATATCGATTAATAGATCTAAATATATAATAACTATTACGGATAACTATTCTAGACGAGTAGTCCTTTACTTTTTAAAGAATAAGTCTTAGGCGGAGCTTTGGATAAGATATTTTATTACTATCGTAGCGAATATAGGTATACCTATAGCTTTCGTTCGTATTGATAACGGTAGTAAGTTTAAAGGTTCTACCTTACTCAAATATCTTAGAGAGATAGAGGTCTATTAGGAGTTAATAATACCCTATAGTTCTAAGTCAAATAGAGTCGCGGAGCGTCTTAACCGAATACTTATAAGTAAGATAAGGTTAATAAGGAAAGACTTAGAGTTACCGGAGTTCCTCTAGGAGAATCTAGTTTAAACCGCTATCTATTTATATAATCGTAGTCCTAATCGATCGATCGGTTAGATTATACTATTCGAGCGTTTCACTAGTAAACGACCTAATTTAAGTTATATACGAATTGTTAAATCTCGCGTTTATATTTATATACCGAAAGAGAAGCGCTAGAGTAAATTCGCTAATAGATTAAAGACTTATATTATGCTTAGTTATAGTAATTCGCCTTTAATCTATTAGATATACGATCCTATTAATCGTAAGGTATTTCAATCAAAGGACGTAGTCTTCGATAAGGACTAATATCGCTATCTTATACTAGTTAAAATAGTAGATGAATTCGATAGTGATAAGGATATCCAGGATACGCCGTTAGTCGACTATTCGGGTTTTATACGTGAGGAACTACTAGATTTACTATAATCTCGTGTAGAATAATAACGAGTAGTTATTAATCTAATATAAGATAATAATACTATCTCTTAATAATAGATCGAGTTATCGATAGTTAAATAATAAGCTTAGCTACCTACGCCTTATCGTAGTAGTAGAATAATAAAGCTATCGTTAAAGGCTAAAGAAACAGTAGAATAGATAATAGCTAATATTATTATGATATATCTCGACGCGGCGGCTATTACTAGGTATAAGATTATATCCTATAGCTAGGCTATAAAAGGTCTAGATCGTAACCGTTAGAAGTACACTATTAAACAGTAATATCAGGCCTATATTGATAATAGTATATAGATAGTTATGACTATCAAGCCGGGAGCAAATATTCTCATAGGCCATTAGGTACTAGTTAAGAAACTAGATCGATTTAAGATACGCTAGGTTATTTATAGGAATAAATAGGTTTACGACGTCGATTATCACGAGGTCTACGCGTTAACTACTAGATTAGAATCGATTTATTTACTCCTTATAATCGCTTATATTAAGGATCTTAAATCTACGTAGTTAGATATAATTAACGCCTTTCTTAATTCTAGTCTTATAGAGACTATTTATATATACTATCTAATAGGCTTTGGCGAAAAAGGTATCTATTATTTACTCCTGAAAGCGTTATTCGGATTATATCAGTCGCTACGGGAATAGTAGCTAGATATCTCGCATAAGCTGAAAAAGATAGGCTTTCGTAGATATTAGGGAGATTAATCTATATTTGTTAATACTTAGGGTGTTATAATCATTCTTTATATGGACGATCTCGCTTTATTTGTATAGAATAAATAAGCTATCGAGATAGCGAAGATAGAGCTACTAGCGTCCTATAAGCTAAGAGATCTTAGAGATTTATAGATATTCGTTGGGATTCAAGTCCTACGTCTACTAGGTAAGATCTTTATTTATTAATAAGACTACTACAATATGATCCTGGAACGATTCGGTTATTAGGACAGTAGATCCGTTAGGACTCCGTTTGACGATAAGATAGTGTTACGACCTCGCGAGGATCAATACCTATAGGCGGTATTAAAGCGTTTTCAGGAAATGAATAGTTCTATAGTATAGCTAGCGAATTAGACTAGGCTAGATATTACCTATACTCACTCAAAGATCGCG